CGTTAGGTGTGGACGCGCACCTTTACAATAATGTTATCATATGATAAAACACATACCGCCGAGAATAAGTGTTACATTTATAATGACATTTTAAACGAAATAAGTGTGAACTTGTCGTAAAATTGAAACCGAGAATCGGCCCATAAGTGTACATATTCGGTAACGATTTATTAACCAAAATTAATAAATTTATAAATTCTTAAAGCTGAATATTGAACTGAAATGTACTTAATTTATAATTCATTATTATTATTGGTAAAAAATCATTGTGGATTTAATTAAAATCGTAAATAAAAATGTTTTAACGGTTGATTACGAAGAAAATACCCGTTCGATGTACTAATCAGTACATCCCCAAATTTTTCGAATAGTAATATTCAAAATCGATTTAAATTTTTTTAAGAAAAGGTTTTGAATGAACAACAGCTCAGTTTGTGAGAAAGTGAAAGGTAAACTAGTAGTGCTTGGCATCGTGCCTTAAGGCAAATTGCTGGAACTTTCCGTACCTAAAATTATTTTTAAAAAAAAAGATTATTTTTTTTTAACTTTGAAAAACAGGCAAATGTGGTCACTAACAATACAGAACGACTTATTAGCACAATATTATCCAGTCAGATTTTCTGGTTAAAACAAAGTACTCCTTCGCGAAAGTTATAATAGGTTTAACTTCTTAATTCGAATAAGTTAATTAATTTTGAATCGAAATTACGCTTTGAAATGGAAATAAATAATGTCTTGAGTTATTATATTTGAATATTTGAAATGTTGAATTAAAATTAATAAGAATTAGAAATAATAATATAGGATATAAAAATAAAACGTTGTAAACAAAAAAACAAAAAATTTTTTAAAAAAACATGGAACCGTCGTCGGTTCCCAAAATTTGGGAATCGGTTCCAGAACCGGAACCGCGCTGGACCCGGATCCGGTTCACGGCTCTAAATTTTAATATGGTGTTTTAAATGAATATTATTGAATACTATTTATTTGTAGTTTGTTATTTTATTTATACTTATAAAACATTATTAAACGGGTCGCAAGTATTATTTGAAACTCAAAATATCAACTTTTTTGAAATGTTAATATAAAATAAATTTTTGGCCTCATGGCACATTTGCTTCGCAAATCATATTTTTTTCAAAGTCAGTACTCTTAAAAAACTTTGTATGATTTATACTCATTCGCATTCATAAAATATTTTTATATTATTATTAATTTTATTTAAGTTATTCAAGTTAATAATCTAAATTTAGAATTAAGTGCAGGGGACATTGTCGAATAACTTATTTCGAGTTATAACAGTCAACAATTTAAATAAGAAGGTTAGCTGATAATACAAATTGGAATTTATATTTTGCATTAGTTGAATAATGTAATTATTTTGTAAAATACCTTTTAAATTAAAATATAAGACATTGAACCTGTTTGCCATCTAGCTGTCCCAAGTTACTCCGCCTATGGGGTAAAATTAAAAAAAAACAGCAAAAAAGGAAAACGAATGAGTCGAAGGACCCTAAAAATTATACCATAGTTGTATATGTTTTTCATACAAAGTGTATAAAACTTCCAGTTCGATTGTATTAACAAAATATGGGCAAACGAATAATGTTAATATAAATTATCTAATATAGAACAAGTAGACATTTATTATACACCACACATCCTTATGCACTTAAAATAAAGCATTAATATTTTTGATTCTCTAGAAATTGTTTAGAAATACTTAGCAAATCAACATTTGCCGGGTCAGCTAGTATGAAAAATCTTTCGGAACCATAGATAAACAAGTATTGGCTATGTGCGAAGGCATGGAAGGGGAAGTCAAACCGACCGAAGCGTTCGTTGTGGCTACTTTGAGAATTAAAGTAGGCTATAATGACAGAAATTTTAAGCAAAAACACATACAATATTTGTTTATTTCAAATTTAAATAAGATAATTAAAAATGAGCCACCAAAGCTGTTGTGTAGTGGGTTGTAGAAATAAGAGCAGAAAAGTGACTGCAAATTCTATACATTTCCTACAGCTAAGTGGAAAGAAAATCAACGGGAAAAGTGGATCGCGGTTAGAAGAATAAAGTATCATAACCTTATTGTTATAAAAATTCAATTCGGAGTACTATGAATATTTGTAAAATTGTTATGTTTAGCAAAAAGAAAAATTATAAGTCAATAAATTGTTATTTTATCAAAATTTAGTGCTTACTAGAAAAAATTGTTTTGCAAACAATGTAATTAATACAAGGCTGAAATAATGATAAATATATATTTATATATTGTATATTGATTATGTATAACTATTATCTATCTATTAATTACATGTTATTATATAATAAATGTAATTTTATGATTAAAAGAGAAATAAAAGTTATCACATAGCGTAAAATGTTTATTTTACAATCAGTTTAATTAATACAATGCTGAAATAATGCAAAATATATATTTATAGTGTTGATGGATCACCGTGGGTTCCCAAGCCCTATGATCGCATTTGCAGTGAATCGGACGAGGTATTGAATCCAACCTACTTGTCAACAATATTTCCTTCAATTTACAAGACTCGAAAAGTTAAAGTCGTTTTTTTTCCTGCAATTTTATTTGATGGGTCTTGTCTTTATAATAATGCCTAAATCATGTCTTTATAATAATGTTTAAGGGTTTAGTTTGACCAAAAATAATGAAAAAATGAGTAAATTAATTTATCATTTACTTATTCTATTGATAAAATATTTTTATCATTATTATATTGTTTTTATCAAGAACTATTCCGAGCTCATGACATAAGCTTTAAGGCACTTAACCTTAAAAATGTTTACTGCATTTCTTTATTAAATTAATCATTACACTTAACTATGTTTCAAGTGCGTTGAAGTAAATTTAATAATTTCAATAAACATTGAGCGTTCACATTATTATTGTATAATGTTTATTATTATTTATAACAATTATTTAATATCTTTTTTCTTTAACAAACATATAAAACCCATAAAAACCACACACTGATAGCCTTAATTAGTTCATATTTATTCCGGCGCTGCATGAGCGCTGCAGTCACGCTCTGAGCGAATAAACGGAACTGTTAATCTCATTTAAGATCACCGTTTTAACGTTTTATCGCAGCGCCGCTACGCTCTCTCGTTATTGACAGGTGTGCCGATACCCTTACGTTTGCTGTTCGCTCTACTGTTATTAGCATTCTTTATCTATGTGCGTATGTCGTTGATGGTTCTCGCATCTCGCATTAGATTCAACAAGTGTGTTCTGATGATAGGTAAAAGAAGAGTATTTAGAGATTTTCAGTCCGATTTTGTTTCAATTCAGTGATTTAGTGCACAATTAATGATCTACATTGGCGATAACATTATTTGCAAGCTTTTGGTTAGTAGTTTGAAGGATTGATAATTTTGTTTATTTATTTAGTACATGACAAAAGTAACGAACTTTGACAGCATCTTATTTCACCTTTGCCTTGATTTGGTATGAGAAATATTCGTTAATAACGTTCGTTTTTATATTTATAGTTATATTTATTGCCGTGACTTTGTTGTTTTGATTTAATTTAAAACCTAATGTGTTCGTCGTATTTATGATTATTAAGTGCTTAGGCAATTTGTTGTTTGTGGATATTATTTCAAGAGATAGGTTATGGCTAATGCGTATGCTACAATTCCAAATATTTTCTTTCGTGGGTACTTATTTTTCCTTCTTTTTAAAGCTATTTTAAAGTAATATTTTTATATCTATATGAATTACTGAAATATTTTATAATTTCAGCTGTCGTCGAAGAAACTCTATTCTACATGATGGAAACCTATGTGAATTTTTTATTGTACAAAACCTCTAATATCGAATATTTAATAACTACATGAGGTAGCTTGAGTAAGAATTTGTGGATGTAAGTACCTGCATGTTTTTTATCGCAATGGATATTACAGGTTAAACATCGTTGCGTGATGCAAGCCAGGGGCGACCTGCGGTTGGTCGTTCGGTTAACTTAAAGTCTGGTCTCAGTTGCAATATTTGTCAACCTTTTTGGCATATATTATAGGTCGAGAAAAGTTTGATCAGAGGTCAAAATTTGGCACATACGTTAAAATATTTTGATTACAGGTCAAAATTTGGCAAATTGGTTGAAAATTGTTCGATTATAGGTCAAACTTTGGCATATGGGTTGAAAATGGATTGTATTTTTTTTTTTAAATTAATTAAATAATCTGAAATGAATATTCAATGAATTGATACTGCAATTTTACATTAAAATAATATTTTTTTTTTACGAAAGTAAAAAATATATAAGCATCTCACTGTAATATGTTATAATACATTTAATATTATTGAAAATCTTACAATTACAATATACAAGTATACAATAAACCTAACCTAACATAATATCACAATAAAAAACCTAAGTAAATATTACAATAAACTTGACTAAACTTAAAAACTAATCCTGTCTTCTGGTCTTATCTTCATTCCTGGTGTACCTGTCCTGTGTGTGATGAAGCCTTCTCTAATATAATCTTCTACTTGAGCCTCCGACACTTGAATGTCTGTTAAAATCATTTCAGCTGCAATCCCGGAAATCATTGTTAGTTTAAGAAAATTAATACAAATATTTTAAGTGAACAGTTTCATTATTTACTTATTTTATTATTTTACTATTATAAGAACATCACTATTACCTTTTATAAATTTTACAAAATGCAATTGAAAGATTCTTCTTGCCTTTGCTCCCGCCCCAGCTGTTCTTATTGGAAATCGCATCAGTGAATATTGTCTTTCATATTGATACGGTTGCCACTCTTAGACAATGACCGCCAATACAAGCAAGCCGTGTTTTCTTAAAATAAAAACAGCATATCATTAATACATACTCACCATCAATTTTAACAAGTATATATTTACAAAACTTTGTTTTGAAGCCTCAATTTCGAGGAATTCTTCAAAACCACCCAATAGGTTGCAATTTGCCACAGGCAACAATCTAAACAGTTCTTCACAATTATCCACACTGTTCTCGTTTCTTTGTTGCGGTTTGTTGACCACTGAATTGAGCAATGCAATTATCCTCTGCAATTGCATTTGGATCTTTGAAATGCTCTTTGTGGTTTCCTCTTCATTTCTTGTAATACTACTTCTCACATTCTGTTGCCCTCTCTTGATTTGTTCTTGAGAGTCTATATTTTTTTATTATCTTCATAACATATATTTACATTACATTACATTACATTACATTACATTAGTATCAACTTACAAATTATCTGCTTGAATATTCGATCTTTATTCTCCGACACTACTGCTCCCAGCTGCTTCATAATTCCCACAATAAAAAACGTAGGTGATTCTTAAATTCATTATTATATTTTACGTATGTTAATTCCTTAAATTTATTATTATGTGTTTTCATTACAATACTTACCAGAATTAAACATCAATCTTTTGGCAGTGGGTCTAGGTGTGTCCTGTAGTGATAGTGAAGCTTGAAAACCTAAAATATATTCTTAGCTAAATTAGTATCAATTAAAACTGAATTTCCTTAATATTTTCACTTTCTCGGCCGTCTATGAATCGCTGGTATATTATTGGCAACACACGGTACCTCAGATGGTGGTGGTAAAATACTAGGCTCTAATTTCTCTATTTCCTGTTCACTACTGCGGTGAATTCTTTTTCGATCACGTCTCTGGAACCTCTGCAATTTGGCTTTCTTTACAGAATGCAGAAGGCATTGCCAACTGAAATACATCTGCAAACACGATATATTACAAATATTCTTGGTGCATTTATTATCAATTATTCCACTTTACTCACCGGTCGATGCAAAAATTAGCACAACTTTACACACTATTCATTTAGCGGCCTATAAGGTTCTCTAATCTCCTTCACTGATCAATACTAGAAAACCATATCTATGTAAATAGGGTATAAACAAGTTTTTTCAGTGCTGTTGTACCAATTGCTGGCATTAACATTAACTCAACAATCATGTAGGGCTTCTGAAAAATCTAAAACAAAAGCAAACTGAGTATCCCTCAGTGAATTCTTGTCTATTGGTCAATATTTAGGCAGTTGGTCATATTTCAAATAAGTCTTCCAATAATTGACAAGAACATGACCATAATCATTCAATGTGAATATCAATCGGGAGAGACATGCAAATTGAATCTTTCTACTATCGAAAAACATTGAAAATGGGGTATATTATTCTTTGTGACTTAGGTGTACCTACAAACAAAGTCTTGGGGGATTATGAAAAAAATAAAATAAAAAATGCGCGAAATACATAACCTGGTAGAGAATAAATTACATTTAACATTAACACACTTTCGTCGGATAAGATTTTGGGCTAACTTACACCCGTAGCGGGTTTTTTACAGCGGTGCGATTGCATGAGCATGGCATGAAATCATGCTTTAAATGTGCTTTAAAGCACAGTCTTTTACGTACATTACTGACTGCCTAATCTCATACGTAGTAATAAATAATACAATATTATGTTATGGGGTAAAACTATCAATATTGAAGGTAAAATATTAGCAAATAAACTTGAATATCATTATGCAATGATGTAATTTTTTTTTTATTCATTTATATATATATATATATATATATATATATATACATTATTTTCATATCTAGGTCTGAGGTATATATATATATATATATATATATATATATATATATATATACCTATATTTTCATATCTAGAGAGTATGAGAGAACAGTTTTCATATTTTATATATACATTTCATTTGACTATTTCATTAATATAATATCTATTATAATTAAAATATCCTTATATATAACTTTTCAGTTTTTTTGTCTTCAATTTTCTTATAGTATTTCTTTATTTTTTTTTTAAATTTGTCATCATTGGTCATCTTAATATCGTTTGGCAATTCGTTATATATTTTGCTAGAACTCCATATGACATTTTCTCTCAAGTTCTTCTTTCTATTGTGTGCTTTCCACTTCTTCTATTTCTCTATTATTTACTTTAATATTTAGTTTAGTGTTCTCGGTATTTTTTCTATGTTTGAAATATGTGTATTTTGTTTTATTGATGTTAATTGTTAGTTTATTTTCAGTTAGCCGCTCGGTGTATATTTTCATGTCCGTGTTTATAGTATCTTCGAGTCTTTTTTTATCCTTACCTGCATATACTATGGCAGTATCGTCTGCATATAATATGTCTCTTCCCTTTAATTTTGCGCCTTTAAGGTTATTGGTGTATAATAGATATGATAAAGGTCCTAATACAGAACCTTGTGGGACTCCACAGGTTATGCCACATCCTCCACTTGTGAAATTTACCACCTTCGTCCTTACCACCTCTTCCATGAGGAAATTTTTGATAATGCTGTACGACAAACCCTCTACACCCAAATCTATTAGTTTATTGAGTAATATGCCATGATCTACTGTGTCGAAAGCTTTTTGTAAATCAATAAAAATTGGTTCTTCTACGTCGACCGTCATCTTGTTGAGATCAAAGTTAATCCTGAAAATTTAAAACAAAATACACAGAAAAGTTTTCTGTACGTTTTCTTACGTAATTTACACATAATTTAAGTCTCTGAAATAAAAAAAAGGAATTTAATCATAAAAATCAATAAATCAAAAAACAAAGAAAAGATTTTTATACGTTTTTTTACGCAGTTCTATATAAGTTTAGTCACTGATATAGAAAAATGAATTTAAACATGAAAATAATTAAAACAAAACATAGTAAAGTTATTTTATTAAAAATATTAAATAAATTAAATGTTACAATGATATAATTGAGTTTTAATAATTTGGTAGTGTGTGATATTAAAAAAAAAACACTCCCCTTTATGAAGAGACACACAGCACATTTGGCACATACAATATGACAAGCTTTTTTTTTGTTAACAACAAACTGTACATTGGCGTTGATCTTTGACCCACCTGTGAAAGTTTTAACCAATTTGTGATTTTGTGCATTTTTAACCTATTTGGGATATATTCTGTAGAATTTGTTTGTGGTGGTATATTTCGGCGTTGGGTAATGTTGTCCATTTCTATCCATTTTTTTGCTACTTCACGTATAAACCATCCAAATGTTTTATTGGAATTTGTGTTTAATTTTTTATAAACTATTTAAGCAATAAACAACGCACAATTTATTAAATACATCACCATTATTTTAGTTCATTTTTATGTACGGCGAACTATTTAGAAGTATGAAAGATACTGATCAACACGATCCACAACTGACATATATTTGTTATAATCTATAACGCATAAGGGTTTCCATATGTTTTTCACGCGTTTTCTAGTCAGTATTATGGCATTCAACCATTACAGTCGAGTGAATGGTAGAAACCATTTGGACGGTTCTTTTCGATTGCCAGCATTGTACGAGGGTCATTCAACAAGTACTTAGCCTACAAAAGAAAAACCAAGATTTTTGAAAAGCGGCGATTTATTTTTTAACATAATCTCCTTCAAGCTCGATACACTTGGCCCAGCGATGCTCCAACTTTTTTAACCCGTCCAAAAAATATGTTTTTTCGAGGGCTGCAAAATAGGCCTCCGTGGCGGCGATGACCTCATCATTTGACCTAAATTTTTTCCCGGCGAGTGATTTTTTCAGATTTGGAAACAAAAAATAATCGCAGGGAGCCAAATCTGGAGAGTAAGGTGGATGGGGCAGCAATTCGTAGTGCAATTCGACCAATTTGGCCATGGCGACGGCGGAGGTGTGAGCCGGTGCGTTGTCGTGGTGGAACAGCACTTTTTTTTCGCCAAACGGGGCCGCTTTTTCTTCAATTCCACATCGAATCGGCCCAATAACTCAGCATAGTAGCGCCCCTTCTCGAGGTAATCAATGTAGATCACACCTTGTGAATCCCAAAAAACGGTGGCCATCACCTTTCCGGCCGATCGAACAGTCTTCGCCTTTTTCGGAGCACGTTCGCCCGGTGAAGTCCACTGTTTTGACTGCTCCTTGGTCTCTGGTGTGTACCAGTGAATCCATGTTTCGTCGACGGTCACGAAACGACGCAAGAACTCCGCCGGGTTGCGCTGAAACAGCGCCAAACACGTCGCCGATGTGGTCTCACGGTTGCGCTTGTTTTCCGGTGTGAGCAAGCGCGGCACCCACCGCGCCGACAGCTTTCTCATGCCCAGTTCTTCGTGAAGAATATGATGCACCGTTCCTTCTGCGATGCCTACAGTCTCAGCTATCTCGCGAACTTTCAATCGACGGTCTGCCAACACGAGATCGTGGATTTTTTTAATATTTTCGTTTGTAGCAGCTGTTTTCGGGGCACCTGGCCGTGGCTCGTCAAAAACTGACGTGCGGCCACGAACAAACTCGTTAAACCAATTCTTGACGGTCGCCATCGAAGGAGAAGAGTCACCGTACACAGCATCCAAGCGATCTTTGATTTCGCTGCGCGTTTTCCCTTCCAAAAACAAGAATCTAATCACCGAACGATATTGTTCTTTTTCCATTTTTGTAAAATTGACCGACACGCTCGCTTTCAAAAGCTGTCAAAACAAAACTAATGCAGGGAATTGAATGAAACTTTGACAGTAGGCTACTAAAAGAACGTACTGCATGATGGTAAAACTCTTTTGTGATAGCAGCGCCTTCGGGCGGTGAGGCTAAGTACTTGTTGAATGACCCTCGTAGTAAAATATCTTGGCGTCTTTTAAATGTTTTCTCTCCTCGTTTTAATTTTAAATTTATAAGATCATTAGGAAGGCCCCTATATTGGTTCTTAAAGTTACGCAAGTTCTCGTTTTATTTTCCTCTAAAACTAAACTAGTGGCAACGCTATTATAAAAATTATTCATATATACATGGTGCCATAAATTCAAATAAGGTTCTAATAATTCTATTATTGTTGATTGCATGCGATTGCCGTCTCCACAGTATATTTTTAAGTTACATATGTATCCAGATTTCGCTTTGAAAACCATTCTTATGTGTATTCCATATTTCACTATTTTGGACGCATTACATACCTTGAATGAAAGCCGACCCTTCCAAGGCATAACACTTTCATCGAGGTTTCTCCCTCAGGCTCGTAAATACTTCTAAATGTATGTAGGTAGAAAATAATTTACTATGGGACGAAATTTACACAGACGATCATTTCCTTTGACATTTTGTTCGTTATCTGAAAAATGCCACGTACTTCAAATTTGCTGGAACCGATCTCTACTCATTATCTTAGCAAACAACGTCGTCGATATTGTCTCATCTGTCGACCAATACTCATCGCGAGCGTCCTTGCGTACTCTACCCATCAATAATAATAAACCCAGATTTTTTATATCCTTACAAGTAGCATCTTTCCACTTCATTGAATTTCCTGCATGGCTAAGTCTATTCAAATTTTGCATATGATAACGATTTGTTTCTATCGCCATATGCTCTAGCAAGTCGTCTCCTATTAATGATTGCAGTATCTATTACACAAGTATTATTGGGAATAACAGAAACAACACTATTTTCAACAAAGGACTCAATAATTCGCGCTATCACTTTCCATTGAGAGCTTCCTTCCGAATCACTCGATAAAATAAGCAAAACTCTATTTTGTTTAGTACGAAGCAATGTCTTCACTATCACTATCATTATCAGTATCAAAGTCATTAAAATTTGCAATATCTGATACATCAGATTTTTGCATCTAGTTTGTGCCGTTTCACAGCGGTAGTCCTACCCTTTAACAACATAATTAAGACTGATTGCACACCGCGTGTGCAATAATAATAATGAGCAATTATCAGATATTCTGAGTAAAATAGTCGCCGAGATTCTGTTAAGTTATTATCTAATTATTTTTAAAATAAATGTTTATCAATTGATGTATTTTTTTACTTTGTACACATGGTTTTCAATGCGCTTCTCGCAACAAAATTTTTCTGAGAAGCGAGTTGCACCCACGGTGAGCAATCATCTTATTTATGCAAATTTTGCTTACGAATTGGATGATTTCCGTAGTAAACATGTTTTTTTTTATTAAAAATGAACAGTATAAACAAAAAAAACATTCGCTTTTGGGGACCGCGTTCGAAAAAAAATCCCCGTCTTGAACGGGTTAACGAACAGTCTGAATAGCGGGTAGAACTACTCTTTCCGCATAAAGTGTGTTAAGTGATCGAAGGAAGTGAGGAGGAGTTAAAAACTGAAATAGGTGTAAATGTGCACAAATTATTTCAATGATCAATTTATTTTTTTGATAAATGTTTGATGTTTTCGTCATAAAAGTGCATCATTTTTCAAAACGAATGCGAATTTTTTCGGGAGTGACAATTAAAACACTTTCTGAGGAGTGACGCATTATGTTTCCGAAATGTCAAATTATACATTTTGAAAAGAAAGTTTGTGCTTTTTCCAGAAAGTAAAAGCTTGTTTTTTACTTGAAAGATATCAACTGCTCAGTAAAATACATATACTGATATATTATTTTAAAATGAAATAATATAGTATATCGTATTTTCAATCGACAGAATCTTGCATGCCAATCCACAACATAAAAAGCACAACTGATGTTTTAGTAAATGGAGAAAATGGTTTTTACTAACTTATAATTTTTCTCTATATTAAATAGTTTTGTTACATGTGCTATTATTCGTTTATTTATTCATGAGTTTTTTGTTGAGCAAAAATAAATCTAAGAAATATGCGTTGGTAAATCATTCTATTACAGTTTGTCAAAGTATTTAAATTATATATTGTATTGTACTGTTAATCGTAAAGTGTTGGTGTTTTTCTTGAATTTTGATTTTTTAAAACTCGAAATTAATATGTGTGGTCTTGGTATATGTAAAATTTGTTAAAATATGCAGCATATGGACTGAAATGTTAATTGTTGAATGCTAACAAAGCAAGCTTGGAAGTATTGACATGAAATAATTAATGAACTATGATGATAGTAGAGTTATAAATGCAATAAAAAATTATTACCTTGATGGAACAAAAGATAATGGACAATTGAATTGAAGTAAAAGCACTGTTAATAATTGTACCATGTGGCAGTAATGAAAAGAATTTATATATATAACTAACTTAATTGGTTACCAATAACTAACGAATGATGAAACATTCAAGTAACGACTGATAATATAATATCAAATTGCAACTCTGGTGAACCTCATAAAGAATAAATAAGTACTGCTGGCAGTGAAACATATTAAATATTTAATATATTGTTTCTGTATGTAAGGCGGTATGAATATTGTAGAAAGCAAATAGTGTATAGTTTTGCTTTTACATGAAATACCATAAACATAAAACATCATGTCATGGAAGAAACTTGTCTTAGAAAAATACATAATAGGAGAGAAAGTGTATAACGCAGGTTATTTTCTGCACAATTTTGATATAAATATACATAACTGACCTATTTATCTACGGTTGAAGATCATTAAAATTTTGTTGAATATTTCTTCAAAAGCCACACCAGCCAAGGCTTTGGAGCATAAGAGAGCATTATAGATTATTTACCTTCGCAGAACAACTGCATGTGTTAAATAAAGTGGGAGCCTCAGTTTAGTCGAAGAAGGAATTCTGACACATCCGATGATTTTGAGGTATTTACAATAGTTGACATAATAAATAGAAATAGCTCGACGGCATTTGATTTTTCTTCACCTCTATACATAATCCAGCAGGAGGTTTGTTTTAATTAGTACGGATTTCTTCAACCATGGATCAAATGGTATAATTGATTGACAAACGAAGATATTTCAATGCATACAGAAATTAAAATACAAAGTTGTGAAGATTCATTTGTCTAATTCAATTGTGATGATCGCAAAATCTGTAATCTTCATTATTTGAGTAATATATATTACCAAATTTGTTGAATTTATATATGAAGGAAATAAAGACTTATCATACAGCATGGATATACAAAGGAAAAGCAAGATCGTATAAAATCGATTCGTAACCAATCTGATATTTGAAATCGATAAAACGATTTGGATTGATAGTTGCAAATACAAAGAAATTCTTAGAGGATAATTTATTACTTCTTACCAATGCAATAAATTACATTTAACTAATTTTAAATATTCAATAGACAACACATAATGAAAAACGCGCAATAATAGTATTCTTGTTGTTTTTGACCAACATTTCAAATTGGAAAACTTCAAACAATTTAACAATATGCAAATTAACAATAACATACAAATAAATATACAAATTTAAGTATTTTAATGTGTTAAATATAAATATAGATCGATTTAATCATAATCATTAAAGTTATTATATAATATTGTATATAATAACTAATATAAGTAAAAAGTACTTTTATATTTTATCTATTTTTTATTTTATTTAACAAATTTAACGTCGCACAAGATTTATTTTTGACCAACTGGCACATTTTATAGCAGAACATATTTAATTTTAAATTTATATTTAATCCTATTATGCTTTTTATGCCGTTGTTTGTATTATGTAAACTCTGGTTGAATATTTTGTTTTTCATAACTTAACGATTTATAAATACCACTTCCACGCACAAATGTATAATTTTTCTTTAATTTCATTTTTAATTTTTCTTTATTATGTTATGTTTATCGAAAACATTTAAGTCGCACTATTAAAATTATTTTATGATCAGTTTAAAAATGCGTTTCGAATAAGTCTTACCTTCCCTATAAATAGTTTATCATAATATTGCATTCAAATTAAGTTTTATCTATTACAGTTATCGAACTTCTGGTCCTCATATGGAAATATTAACGTATGTGTTTTTTAAAATATATCTGATAATAAATTAAAACATAATTCACCTAACTTAACAAAGCATTTTGAAAAAATCAAACCAGATTTTCTGATCTCGGATATTAAATACCAATCGTTATATTGTAACGAATAGGGTTTGCGCGATCTTTATTTGGGACGATGCTGCTATGTAATACAAATTATGCATCGCTTCTTCAATACGCAGGGTTAACTTACTATTGATTTCGTAAATGCTGAGCAAACAATTCTACTCAAGTCATGGATATGCTGAATAAACAATAATTCATTATCTCTTTCTATGCAAAAATTGTTTCGTCCTTTATTGAAAATAAGAAAATCTCTGAATTGAATTATTACTAAATTTGTCATTCTTCCATGTTGTGTGCGTGGATAATTATGTTCAAATATATCTCAAGTAAATGTTGCACATGCCTGTATTTGCTTACAATCATGTTTCCTAAGTCTTATTTCTAATTCTTATTTTTATACTATTGTATACAAGGAAACCTTGAAGTTTGCAAAATCGATCAACTCTAAGAAACTCTTGTCTCATTAAGCTACATGTATATTGCAGCTACGTTTGTAGCATGTTTATCGCACACAGTAACTACAATATTGATTCCAATTTCCTGCATGTTCGAAAAAATAACTGCAAAAATTGTTTCGTCCTTTGTTGAAAATAAGAAAATCTCTGAATTGAATTATTACTAAATTTGTCATTCTTCCATGTTGTGTGCGTGGA